TGGGGGGGGGGGGGGGGGGAGGTGGGGGGGGTTTTTGGTGGGGGGGGGGGGGGGGGGATCGTTGAAAATAACGCGGCTTGAGATTCTTTCAAAATTTCCCTTTAAATTCGCGATGCTGAGAAGGACATGAAATTAAATGTATTTCATGCTGCATTGATGGAAAGTGATATTGATAGAATGCGAGTTTTTACATGACCTGACGAATAAAACCACTGGAAAATTTATGAGCATAAGCAGACTGTTTGTGACAATTACATACGCATCATGAAAAACAACAGTTTCTCTTAACTTTTTTTTTTCATAAAACGTCAAATATAAGAATTAATCCGTATGTTATTCTACGCTCTTATGCGCTTAAACCACATGCTTTTCAATATCGCTTTTCATTCAAATTCGTACAATCGAAAGTTTTCCCGGTATTGAGAATTAATTGGGATTTGAAAAGCATTCTATACACATTGAGAAATCTTAAAAATCATTGTTTCATGCAGATTCAAGGTCTCTTTACTATTTATTTATGGGATTAAAGATACATTCGAATGAAATATGTAATTTTCACTTCGTTGAATCTCGATTTTAATATATAATTTTCTTATTGTATTTCTACGGAGCTTCGTGGCTATCTTATTTATTTGATTTTCATTGTGGATGCAGAAGGACACTTGCCAAAAGGAGCAGCCTACTTGGATGATAATGATCATTTCGTTTCTAACAAAAGTGATGATAAGCCGCTGTTGAGCTCTGTTGATTCTTGTAAGTATTTCATCCGTTTATAATACTTTTTGTCGTAGAAAAAGCATAATAATCAAAGACTCGTTTCAGTCTTCGTTATTATTTACTTACTTTTCTAAAATCACGCATAAGCAAAGAACGACGTCTCATTTGCTTCGCATACATAAATACAAACATACGCACCCATGCATCCACGCACGTAGCCATGAGCGCCTCGTATCCATATAGACACGTATAGTTGCGTATGCGCGCGCGCGCGTGCGTGAATACGTGTAAGCGTGTACGTTATCATTTATCATTTAGAAAATATTATTGTGCGATCACTTCGTGCACAATGAAAAAAATACAAAAACCTCTGTGATGGCATGTATTCTTAAACTTATTGAAAATTCGAGCAGTCTATTCATTGAAGAAGGACTACGAGAGCGAGCAGGAGACGGACAATTTTCCGACACAGAAGGTAGCTGATCCTGTCTTCCGTAAATACGAGGGTATTGGTCCGACAACTAGAGGTGGGATACCCATCGTTTTGAGATCTGTAAGTGATCGATTGGTCGGCTGAGGCGTCCGAAAGACACCTGAATTTAACCATTGAAGCGAAATACTGTTGTACCGCATACCATACATAAGCCGATTCGAGTATTAATTATGAATTCTGCGTATATTTTGAAGAAAATTTGTAAATTAAGTACGTTTTTACGTACGTTACTCTGGAATCTATGAATTTTTTAAATTTTATTTTAATTGATTGCAATCTTAAAGACGATGTTGGATACTGGAGAGGAAATAATTTAACGTATCGGTAAATAATATGGTGGATCAACTTTTATCATTATGATATCGTATCGATTAATTAAAGAAAATTAAAATTTTAATTTACTCTTTTGTCCTTTCTTTTGGCAGATGAATTTTTATGTGAATAAAAAACATATTGTATTAATGGATTAACTTCGAATTAGCTTAAAATAAGGAAATATTGTCTAAAATATTTCATTGGTATTATTTACACACACACACACACACACACACACACACACACATACATACATACATATATATATATATATTTAAATATATTTGAAAAATATAATAGAAGTATATCTATAATTTATTGTATCAATTTATTCGAACGTTGAACCTAGTGACAATATTCCCTTAAAAATACCTTTTTTTTTTTGTTTCTTTTTTTTTCTTCTCATTTTTAACAATCTAATTAACGCTCGTATTAAAGGTGAAAAAATGCATCATTAGAATTATGAATGAATTGAATACGAAAATCATGTAATTCTTGCAGGAAGTCAAAGAAAACAACCAAGCAAAGTGGTACAAGCAAATGTATGATTCTCTTCATCGCGCTCCCAAAAACGGTTAGTTTTCTCGTTTGACAAATAGTTAAAGTTGACATTATAAAGATGGCTAATTATCCACATATTGAACATTATGAAATAAATTTGATGTAAGGAAATATTTCACATTTCCAGACGACTACGTAACCATCCGCTACAAGCCGCATCGAGGTGATTATTTTTACACTTGGATTATAGAAAAAACATTGTAAATTTTCTGTTATGAAATAACAGAGTTGTGCGATTTATTAATTATATTAACTTGCCTGCTAATACCATATTTTTAGCTTCACTAATCGCTGTCTTTGTATCGCAATCCATTTCAGCTCTACATCAAATTATCCTCATTTTTGTTTATACACACACACACGCACGCACGCACGCACACACACACACACACACACACACACACACACACACATAGATGAAAAGTGTTTTTTTTTCACCAGCAGCATTTTCTTTTATATTATGTATTAATATGATTTAATTATCATTATTATATTAAAAATTGCATATTCAAAACAAGCGGATGCCGAGTAAACGATAATATTTTATTCTAGTAGAACGCAAACGCGTGGATGTGATAGTACACAACGATAAAGTAACATTTGTCAGAGAAATACGATGAATTATATGCGTATTGTATATGCTTACGGGCAGACAAACAGCAAGCGAAAAAGAAATAGCAAAAATAATCTTCTCTCGAAACTCACCCATACTAAGCCATACCCTATTTGTCAAAATAATAATAATTTATATATAGTTACATAATAACCGCCTTTACATGCGCTTATTTATGAAATAAATATTGTATTTAATTCGGAGTAAATCTAATATTTTTATTTATATTGCATTATTTCACAATTGTTCCTATCAAATTCCGCTTAATCTATCATAATTAATAAGAGTATGCTTTTACAGTGATGAAAGAAACTTATGCTTTGGCGATATGCAAGGCTGGCTGCAATAAAAACAAATAAAAATCCTCGGTAACGCGGTAAATGTTTTAAACATTTACCTATCTGCTATATTACTAAATATAACCCGCAATCGAAAGATCGAGAGAGTGTTGCATTATTTTTCAGCTTAACTCAGTCTAATAAGCCACTAATCCCTGTCATTGTACGTGTTTTACAGGCTCGAGAACCGGCTACAGCGGTACATCGAGTGGATATCTGAGCGAACCGGAACCTCGTAGCTATTCCGAGAGATCCTGTACCCTTGACAATCGCCGGCACAGGCAGCGCAACAAGGAAAATGATTTCTCTACGTGTACTTTGCCTAGGCCGTAAGTAACTGATCCCTTTAATAATTATCTCCCTACTGGGATATATATTTTAACAATTTTTAATGACAAATATATGTTTTACATTTGCGACATAGTGATAGTGATAATTAGTAGATAAAATAACAAAAGGAAGAAAAAATGTATTTTTGGTATTCTTGCTTTGATGAAACTATAATTCACCTAAATTATCCCCATAAATGCTAAAAATTTCGCCATTATAATAACAAAGTATACGCTGATAAAGTTGTTTTTTGTTCTTTTTTTGTTTTGTTTTTTTGTGTTTTTTTGCATTTCGTTGTTTAAATTTTGATAAATTTCTTATTAATTCGTTGACAATAATGTTTAGAAGCGGACGGATAGATGGTCATTATTCTCCAGAAACGTATCATCTTCAGCCGGGTAGAATAGAAGATTACGTCCCGGGAAATTGCTCGATTCAAGAAAAGGAATCCAAAGAGGTATTTGCTTATTCGCTAACATTTACATTTGTAACTGCAATGAATGAAACTGTAACAGGCAAATTCATCATACCCCATCGTCTCAATTTGCCGACGCGTAATGCTTACTGTACAAACCAATCCCACCCCCAAAGTACTTTCCACAATCAAGCGAGTATTGTGTCATAGATAAATTGAATATTAGCTTGTTAAGGCAATGTAACAATTAAAGTACGAAAGTATCCTGCACAGTCGTAAAACCAGTTCCAATTGTAAAATTAAATTACGATGCTTCTGAGAAAGCAAGCATTAGCGGGGGCGGAGGCGGCTGCGGCGGCGGCGGCGGCATCGTTCATTAAGCAAATTTCATGCATAACGCGATTCCTGTAAAATACATGATCATAGTAGCAACTACTACGATTAGATTTTCATGTTCTATATAATACGTGAAAATAGCAAATTGTACATGGTGAATTCATTCATTACAGCTCTACCAAATATCTGTAATAAGATTAGGATTAGGCAAGTGAAAATCGTGTATTTACACGACTTTATATCACTTTTCACTTTTCACACAAACAAAGATAATAAATATTCATTTTCTATATAAATTAAATGTTTTTTTTTTTTATTTTTTTATTTCATTTATTTATTTTTTTTTATAGCTTCACGTCAAAACAAGTGTTTAATTGCACAATATTTTTGTGATAAAAATTTTTTTTCATAGCGTTTTTTTACTCATCACATAATAGTTGCTGTAATCACATTAAATGTTGGAGTAATGAAAAAAATTTCGTATGTAACAATTTAAATCATGTTAATTTTACGCTATAAAATTTGATAATAAAATTTTAATGATAAAATATATAACCACTTAAATTAGTAAAAGTACTTGTATAAATTTAAAATTTCAATATTTAGTAAAATATCGTTTAATAAAAAGCGTAAATAATATTATGCTTAAAATTATTTGGTAATGCTTTTATCAATTAAGAAATAAAAATTATTTATAAATACAACCCATTGAAATTTAAATGAAAATATTTGAAGCTCTTATTTTTCATTACAAGCTTCTCTTTTCAAATTGTCTTATCGTTATTTTGAATAACAACGTCTTTAATCAATAATGTAGGATTAAACGTTATTCAATAATAGTTGCTTCGCAATGAAAACTTGAACATATTTCAAATTCCTATCACGATAATCATATATGACAGTTTGCAATGGCTTTTCTTCCAGCCGACGTCTGATCTCACTTGGGCGAAGCGGAAGGTAACGATAATCCGACCATTACAAATATGCATATATCGTAACTATTTTAAGCAATATTTCTGTTCTCACCTCTGATATCGTGTCGTTATGCAAAAAGTCACTTTATTATCACAAGGGAAAATAAATACATTCTACGAGCAACCAAACTTTACTTAATATTTGTTCCGATTCAAGTCCAATCTGGACATTAATTTTCCATTTATTACTACTATTATGATACTTATGCTTTAGCAATTAAACGTGAAAAAATGGTTTTGCTGCACAATTCATTTAATATTTTTATATTAGCTTATGTAGATACGCTTACTAAATATACTCTAAACGTTCAATTTTTTTTTTCTTTAAGCAGATGTCATCTGATTTTTGTATGATAAAAAAAAATCGTTATATTTTTTTTCATTGCGAGAAATATCGCAAATGGGCTGTGTATTTTAATCGATGACCTCTACTCATTTTTATTTACAATTGCAATTTGACTACCTTATTATTGTTTAACTCTTAACATAATGTAGATAGATATGATGCTTAGTATAATGCATTGTTTTAATCATTTTTTTCTAGTGGTGGGACGAGGTCATGGACATATTTGATGGGGTATGCAACTTTTTTTTTTTCTCAAAAAATGCAATTACTTAAAGATAAAAGACGTTTACGGGAAAACGATCTCGCATGTTTACTTTATCTTCGCAGTTTTTAATTCTATTAACCAATGCACAATTTTATGTACACTAACAAGTTAAATCTGTCATAGGCTATTATTTATAAAAATACTGCGAAGATTAGTATGGCAATGATATTTAAACTTCTGTTCAACTGAAAATAATAACTTTGAAAGATAAAGTAAATATTTATTTCTATTTAAATGTCAAAATGATTTAAAGTTTATTCTGAACAAAGCTGAAACGTAGCCTGTACGGTAATTGCATTTGTATTTTGCCGTGAGATGAAATATTTCTAATGAATGAAATATAGTATGTGAGTAAAAATAACTCGACTATGTAGACTAGTTTACTTTTGCTAATAATATTTAAAATAGCAATATCTAATCAATGAAAGTCCCTGAAATCTTTGGATTTTCAAGGTATTAAAAAAATATAGTATACGATCATTTGCAAATGTATAATTAATGTTTTTAATGAAAATGCAAAATTTTGTTATTGTCAAATGGACAGCATCTAATATCTTTCATAGATATTTTAAAGAGCAATTAATCAGCAATTTACAGCCAAGGAAATGTTCCAATTTTGAATTTGTGAATAATCGTATTTTAAAATTAAAGTAAAAAAATCTTATCAAAACGTAGTAATTGCATCGATTAAAAAATTGTAATTTGATAATTTAATAGAAATGACTATTTACTGTAAGCTTTTTATTTAATAATTTAATATACACCTTCGGTCAATGAAATTCTGTATTTATGATTTTACAATATTCTAATAATAAGTCTCAATCTGGATAAGTAAATTAAAAAAGTATCGTATATACCCTATTCTTTATGTAAAATACAACAACAATAAAAAAAAACAAAAAAAAAAACAAATAAATAAATAAATAAATAAAAATGACGAAAACGATTTGAGAAACAACATATTCTCGAATGATAAAAACGTAGATTTTTCCTTGTAGTATTTTATATAAAACAGATGATAAATCGTGTGCCCTTGTGTACCTTATATATCGTTAAACCTGCACGACACGTGCGACTCACACTCTATGTGCCTCCTCTTCACATACACACACACACACACACACATACGCACATACGCACTCTCTCTCTCTCTCTCTCTCTCTCTCTCTCTCTCTTTCATCCCCAAATCTCACTCTTTATTTTTCTTGATGAGGCCTTGAGACACTCCTGCCCCACCTTATCACCCATATCCAAAAACAAAACAAAAGACAACGCAAACACGCAAAAATGAGACGGCAGTGGCTGGACGAGATCGAAGATCTACAGGATAGCATCGAGGGGTTGCCGTCGATGGAGAACCAAGAGCATACGTCTACCGGGAGCAGTGGAGGCAGCGGTGGCCGTAGAGCCAATAGCGGCAGTCATCATGGACGGGACGGTGCTTGCAGGCCGACGGGAACGAGATCATTACGCGGGTCCTCGGCCCAAGGTCGTCTCTACCCACGAAGCCGCCCCAACGGTGACATCCGACGGGACCTGGAGCTCAACGAGGAACAGCAGCGACTTCGGCAGTCACGGCTCCTCGAGAGCCTCTTTGAGCTGGCGGCCGGGGGTACGAGGCCCCGCAGTGGCTCCACCGGCGACTCCGAGCGGCGCTTAATAAGGCCTCTCGGGGACTGGACCTCGCGAGGTCACCGACATCATCAGACACCCAGGCAGAATCACCCGGCCGTGCTGTCATCCTCCGCTTCCTCCTCCTCCTCGGTCACCAATTCGTCTTCTAACGGCACGAGCAATCACGCCGCGATAGCGCCCTCCTCGTCTTCACTTCTGGTTAGAGATCGTATTGCACATCGCCCTCTCTCTCTCTCTCTCTCTCTCTCTCTCTCTCTCTCTCTCTCTCTCCGTCCCGTCCTGCACTCTTATGCATCAGCCTTGACATACGACTTTTCTTCTTCTCTGTGTCTACATAGCTCTTTTATTCTCGATTATATCTTTTCTTGCTCGATTGTGCACGATATCCGACGAGAGATGATCCATCTACGGTATTATCGTGTAACTTTAAATTTCTCACATTGTTGTCCGGTTATTGTATTTATTTTCGTAGATTTAACTCTTTGAAAAACGATGATAAACTCCATCACATATTTTATTTACCATTTCCTTGCAAAAATTGTAACTTATTTTAGTCTTTTGCATTATTTACAAAATCATCGTGCATACAGCGTTATAAAATGATTACGAGTAGACATAAATGATTTTCTAATTTGTAAATGTCATTATCTTACTTGTATATTAAATATTAATCAATTGCCGTAGTCGAGGACTTTGGCATATTTAAGCCTTGTGCAACATAACATTTGTACAAATTTATTATGTCTTATGAGGTTCTGCGATATTTACGTTTTTCTTTCGTTTGTTTGTACTTTCTTAGCGTTACCGTAATGAGAATATTCAAAGCTTATCTGTTTTTATCATTGATATTTACAATCTATAATGCGTAAATACTTATGTACTTAGTTTATCCAAAAACTAAAAATATAATGTTTTATGTTTTTTTTATTTATTTATTTAGTTTTGTTTTTTTTTGTTTTTTTTTTTTTTTTTACAAACTAAGCCTATAGAAGATATTTGCATCTATATGTATTATATAATGATAGAAATAATTTCAATTTTGATCAATTTTTGGCATACATCGTTCACCACTTTATACGATTAATATTACACAATACGCTGATAATCATCAACAGTCATTCGTTTACAAATGCATTTTTTTTTTTTTTTTTTTTTTTTTGAACAAACAATTATTAATTATATAAGAATTATACAACGCAAACCTCGTCCACGTCTCTACTTTAATTAATGATTATATTTGTTATAATTTAATATTATGTAATAAGTATAACCATTTATTATTATTGTATATTATAATTTTTAGCGAAGTTTATTCATTTTTGTCAAAATTAAGAGTATAGTTGATAATATTCTCGTCAACAGGCTTACATCTTACAATACAACCAACTCATCATACAAAACAAAAAAACAATTAAAAATAACTCAAAACACAAGCGATTCGTCATATACATTCGTACCGTAGTTTACGTAATGTGTTGAAATTATATGTCCTGAAATTATTTATTATTAATAGTTATTGCTCTCATCGAGGACAATAAAGATTGTTGTATTCTATGTTATCGATTTATTTGTGTACATTTATACAGGTATCTTACTAACATGCACGCTCTTACAGAAAAACTACAACAGTTTCCACAAGAATGCAGCATGATTTCATTTTTCATGAACACATCAGCAACACATGTTTGTAGAACGAAATTTCTCCTAAACATAAATTTTTAGTTAGAGCCACGAACGTTTTCGGGAATTATTGAACAAAATTTTATAAGTACGTGGTAATATCGAAAATAATTTCACAATTTCTAATGAAATCGATAATTTACTACAAAGAAATTAATTCTCAATGGAAATGCATGCGGACTCGTAATGAAACTTAAAATACAAAATTTTGCTGCTTATTATTTGAACTATTATTCACTATTCGACAGCTCATCTACAAATGACGTTTTGCAATTAATGTCCATACAATTATTAATGAGACACTTTACAAGATGACACGTTCAAACAGCATTCTCAAAATACTTTTATCGCTTCAAGGTCGCGATTTAATTATGACCGTTTAACGATTTAAACGATCGTGCACGTTTATTAGCATGTACTATTAATGTTATAATTAATAGGAAATTTCCTCCAAATGTAGTATTTTTATTAATGTTTATATTAATTTTACAGCCATTCGAACAGCCCAACATACATTCGCCTAAGTCTTATATGACTCAGTAAGTAATGATCTATTAATTAAATCAATTAATTTGAATTCGAGACTAGTGTGAGTTTAAATAAATTTGCAATCTAAATTAATGTTAACGCTATCGCGTATTCTATGAAAGATTCGAGCCTGTAAAACATTCGAGCTACTTAAGGACTTTTGTATCTGCTAAGCTACCCAAAATAATGTTTAATTCAGGCAAAGAGCCATTGAATAACGAAACATCGACAGAACGAAACATTGAGCTTGATCATCAAGTTCTTGAAAATTCGACGAGCTAGTATTTTAAATTCATTCTAGTCGCTTAAGCTATTGCTTAACTAGTCCACTCAAACTAATCGAGTATTAATATTGTTCCTAGTGCATTGAAGGAGTCTGGCTACGAAAGTGACTCGACGCTCGTATTCCGTCGACGCGAAGATGCTAGTCCACTGAGTCCTCTTGAACAGAGGATAGCGTACAAAACCGTTCAGAAAGGTGGCGACGTTCCTCTTCATGGTCTTCGTAAACCGGCTCCGGAGCGTCCCAAAGGTAAGTTTATTATGTTCTCCAAAACTTGAAGACTTTCATTTATATATTTGACTAGTACAAAGGCTATTTTATTCTTTTATTAATATACATTTAGACTATTGACGATCGTACATTATATTGCGATTATTACATTATAATAGTCGCGTATGTCTTATATCAAGTATATTGTATACTTTTTATCTGAATGTATGATTGATAAGGGAAATAATCGTTCTATCGAGCTCATTTATGTCTGAATAACTTTTTTTTGTATTGCATTACGTAATAAGGTGACAGCGATCTAACTAATCTAGCATGATTCCAGAATGGGAAAAAGTTAGAGTAGCTTATAATGATATCATAGTTTCATTTCCACATTAAATATATTTATTACCGCTTCGGTAGATAATATTATTATTCATTGGTTTAAAATATAAAGAAGGCATGAAAATGGCTTTATACTTTTTTTTCTCCTGTTTTTTTTTTTTATTTTTACTTATTTATGTTTTCTTTTTCACATAAAGCTGATTTTTCTAAATTGTTGCACCTTTTTTAAAAGCACATTTTATTTTCTTACTGCATTTAGTTGCAAAATAATATTTCATTATTCGTAGTTATTATAGCGTAGAAACGAGCTTTTTTTTCTTATCATTGGTAAGATATATTTTTATTTTTAATAGCTTATAGCTTGCCAAACGATAGAGATAATCTGCTGCAGTTTTTATTTATTTATTTTTTTCTATATTATTTTATTATTTTGATATTGCTCGACTGATATTCATCCAGCACAAATCTTCTTTTTTTTTTTTTTCAAGTAAAATGGTCTTTTAATTATTCCTTGATATTTAGACAAATATTTATTTTACTATCATTAACATGATCTGAAAGTAAAATAAAATTGGGAAATTATATTATCAAGGGATATTTTTCTTATCGGCGGTAACCTGTTTTATACATAAAGTAAAATTTCATTGTTTTCTGAAAAAAGGTTTCGTAGAATAAGAAAAATTTTAAATGACTTATTTTATTACGATCTTACACTCTATCAATATCGGTACGCCTACTATTTTGCAGATCTACTGCGATACCACATTTTTTATTCTATTAATTTCGTGTTTGCACCTTTTAATGGCACCAGAGATATCAGTGCAAGTGCTGCATTCACGACACACGTACATTCACCTGGTCAATAAAAGAAAAAAAAAGTTAAACAGAAGTATGGAGCAGTGCACGCTTGTACTACTTCCGGAACAATGAACAGTCATCTATCAATTCGACTACACTTTATTCTTGACCACGAGATCTTGGTAACAGGGAAAGTGGTGATCTTACGGATTGGCTTCACTCTACTACTCTCATAAAAAAAAAAAAAAAACAAAAAAAAAAACCCCCGAGCTCCGCCATCATTTTGTATAACGGAGGTCGAAAACTTGTCTAAACTCTGTCCACAGACGACACCGAGATCGAGTACTTTCCGATCTCGCCAACACTGACGAGGATTCGCATTCATAGGAAGGGCAGCAGCTATAGTTCGACTACAACCTCACCAGTATCGTCGACTTCGTCGATGAACGTCTCGCGGATTCCCGTCATTTCTATGGCGTCATCGGCATCGAAACAATCTCAAATATCCGCATCAAAAATTAAGAAAAACTGTTTGTCATTTAGGAAAAATATCATCACGGATACGTCAAGCTATTGTTTGAGTAGCCCGATACCTTCTCCACCCAAGAGAAAGTCTTCTCGCAATAATCGAACCCTTAAATTATATTCAAATTCTAGTAAGTTGGTGGAAACGTCGCAGAATCATCATACTAGGCACGAGCAGTGTTTTACAAAAATACCTTTGTTAAAGGATAAGTTGAACACAAACTTGAAGAAACAAAGGAAAGATAGGGAGGAATTGCAAAAGCAAAAATCCATTAGATCGTCATCGATTAGTCCTGTATCGTTATCGAAACGGTCATCTTGCAGTGCTTCGCCCATCTCTCGAAGTAGAAGACCAGCGGCTTGTTTATCCACGAATTCTTGGGATTCCGATGACATAATAGTAAATCGAGCAGCGACTAGAATTTCTTATTCATCGAGTCCCACTTCCAAATCGCCAAAAATTACAGTGGCAAAGGCATCGACTGCGATTAAGCCGACCGTTGACAGAATATCCAATTCATCAAAGGATTTACGAAAAGTTGGCAGAGTTTGTCAACACGTATCACGAATAACGGCGACGAATTCGGCGATAAAAAAAGAACTTAAAGTACGCAGAACTAAGAGAGAACAAGAAGAATCTTGTAAGAGGCTTAGTAGATCAACGGCTGATTTGATATCACCTGTTCAGGTTCGCAGAATCATTCAAAGGCAAAGAGAACAGGAAAAACAATTAAAAACTATAACAACGTTTAAGGCGTTTCCAGTGTCGGTAATAAAACATACGCCAATGCCATTGGCATCATTAAATAAAAATAATAGCTTAAAATTCAAGGATAAATCGTTAAAGGTGAACGTAGCCAATACTACAAGAGGACGAGAAATTGTTAAAAAACCAAGAGGAGCTGAGCAATTGTCGACACCAAATCCTCAAAAGCAAATGAATTGCGTATCGGATAGAGAGTGCGATTTGAAAAGGAAAAAAATTAGAGATAAAATTCTATCGAACAGAAAAACGGAATCCAAACAAGTGAATTCGAATGAACATCGAGCTGTCAAAGAATTAGTAAGAGATCAAGCATTTGTGATGAGAAGTAAAAGTAGAAGAATTTGTAAAGACTCGAATAAGACGAATTCCGGTCATGTTGAAATTAGCGAACGAATGACAAGATCGGAAATCCTAACACCCACATTAACCGTAGATCTTTTACGGCAGCATCAAGAGGCAACAATGTCCGACTCTTTCTTTCAGCATCTCTTTCTCAGAGACATTTTTCTGACTTCTTCGCAAACAAATCCACTTCGCAAATCATCCGTACTCGATCGTGCCCGTATGTTCCAAGAAATTGATTACAATGATAATTATAAGTCCGAGCCATCGTTAAAATCTCTTAATATATATCTCTCTCATAAGCGGCCAGTTTCGAATTCACGATTTCGGAATTGGGAGCGTGAAAGTCTATCTTCGAGGAGCTCCAGTCCGTTTACCTATAGATTTAATAAATTTGACAGTTTATTAAGAGTCGATGAGTTTGGATCGTCAGGTTCTTTACGCGGAAGAAGTCCCGATTTGACTCGTGAATGTCCAAAAGAAAGAAGTCTCAGTGAGCCTCCGATGAAAAGCTTGACAGATCATTCCGAAATACGTATTCATCCAACTCCGATTCGTCCTACGGCCAGATCACCATCAACTCGAAAAATTCAGATACGCCGACAGGATAATTCGGATAATTTCAGCGAGACTGCGATAAAAAAGTCGAGAGCTAAGAGTGCCAGCGAGGTTAATTATACGTGCGATTATAAAGAAAATTTAGGATCTAATGTAGCCTTATTGAGAAGTACGAGCTCACTGATGAATTTCCCAATAGATCGCGAGGATTATCAGCATTATATATTGGAGAAACTTCGTTCGAGGCGAAAATCCAAACGATACAAAGATTTGTATGATTTTTACGCAAGTTTGGAAAGAATAAAGAAACTTGAGGAAACGACCTCGAGCGGAGAGGCCCGACCGAGATTGAAAAATGAGGAAATTATTGATTACGAGCGTTGGAAGGAAATTAGAACTAAGGAAAAGGCAGAGGATGAATTGAAGAATCTTTACAATAAATTACAAATAATTCAAAGAGAAAAGGATTTTCTCTTTTCCACTCGAGATATTGGGCGTTACAAGTGGCGCGGCGATTCGAGTTTGCGATGCAAAGAGAGATCGGTAGAGAATATTCGAGAACAATTTCGTAAATTGGAAAATGAAGAGAGCGAGCTGGAAGCATTAAGGCAACGGGAAATCGCCTCTAAAAAGGATACATACAAGCCATTATGGCGGGGTAATTCGGTAGTAAATGTAGCAAATATAATGGCGAGAAAAGCAGCGGAAAAGGCAGATTTTGATAGAACATCGATTCAAGCGTCGCTTCAAAGAAGTCTTGGGGGGAGTAATAAATTTTGGAGCAGTTTGACAATCGAACAAGTAACAGCTTTGAAAAATCAGCTGAACGATATATATGGAAACGATCCGATAAATACGAAGCGCAAAATCATCCCAAAACGTTCGGATTCGCTCAACAGCGTTACAAGAATTTCTAAAACTAATTGCATTTCAGGGGCGCGAAGGGACGATTATAGCGAAGAAATAACGATACATCCTAAACAACAGAAAATCGATACTATCGTAGCGAATGGCGAAAAATCGAGCCTGTCCGTGTCGGAATTTGAAATTATCGTCCCAAAGGGAAGGAAGGATGCGTCACCTGATAATAGCTTAGGACTTCATGTTAGATGTCACTCGATGATCGCATCCGATCACTTAAAGCGTAGCGATGACATCGATTTAATGCAGAGACGCAGCAGATCCATAAGCCGAGTGTCGAGTTTAGAGAGATCTCAATCGGATCGCATTCGAAAATCATCGCCAATGAGCGAAGTCGAAAAGAAAAGGCTTTCCCTCACTTTAGGTAAAGAGATGCTCGAAAAAGTTAATAAAAAATTAACGCCCAACATGACTGGACCACGCGAGACGCGGAGCGCCCAAGCAACTGCTTCGATAAAACAGAAGCCAAGTACAACATCTAAGAGGACGTCGTGTGACAGTCGTGTGTCAATGAGCGAGGACGATACATCAATGTCGAGAGAGCAAATCGATTGCGTTTCACTTCTAACGCCTAATAACGACGGCTCGGGCTCCGAACAGGAGCATCGCGTTGAAAAAGTTATTATTAGCGAATGGTCACGCGCAGCCTCGGGGAGAGAAGGGATCGATCAGATTGACAGTGCTAATGAGAGTTCGGGCATATCTGTGCGCACAGTCGTACATCATTCGCCAAAGAAAAATTCACTCGACCAAGATTTAGAGAGGGAGAATAAGATAGCCAAGTACTCGCAGCTACCGTGCAAGCTCTCCTACTCCCAAAGTCTCGCCGACTTGAAAGAGCTTTTCGGAGAAAGCACTAGCGCAAGATATCGAGCTACTTCCCCGTATAAATCGCGAACGCGATCTGCCTCTCCTATTACTAAAGCGGAACGAATGACCACCAATCGGAATGATAAAGAGAGGAGCACCTCCGCCTCACCGGATGTAGTAGCCAGCACGCGAAGCTCAATGCGCTCGTGTCCGAGGAGCCGTGACCGTGACTATCTGCGTCCCCGCAGTGTCAGTCCATATCGCGTCTCGTCACCCGCGGCTCACTACGACTCGTCCGGGAGCTTGGAAAGCCTTTGGCAACGTGGCAATTCCCCCGATCCTGAAAAGTATTGGCGAACGTATCTGAAAGTCGTACGTGACGGCTCGGTGCGACGTTTGCGGGCGAAATTCGAGAGCTTGGAGGATCTCTCGCGAGCGGGCTGTCGCAAATTAGCAGTGGCACCCAAGAGGTTTCAAAGCGATCCCGAGTTAGCTCGAAATCTGCTGAGAAGAGCGACCGATACGAGCAAAAATTATATAAAGCCACAGGAGATACCGGACGTAGCCTGGCTACGTAGGAAATACGAAGGGCCAAGTGTAAAGAAACGCAGAGGAGGCGTGTCACCGATACCCCGGATACCTTGGAGATTAGAGGATCTGATGATGCCACATATTAACGTAATCAGCAAGACTGTCGAGCTCAAAGACTCGGCTCTGCGAAATAGGACAAATTCCGTGAGCCATAAAGAGGAAACTAAGGTGCTGGAATCTCGGCGAGCTGTGAATCGTGTTCGCGAGATGTTCGAGCAGGGCGTAAGCCCCGACTCGAAAACGTCGATTCTCGGCCAAATGTTTACGTCCGCGCCAAACGTTCACGAGCTCCGAGACATCGCGCCTTACTTAGCAGGACGTTGGGTGGCCCACCAATACCCGAGCCGCTACGATAATTCACGATCGCTCTCCTCGCCACCGGATCTCTCGCGCAAGTCGAAAAGTTCAACCCAAGCGGCCAGGACGTCGATAACCCCTCCAATTAGGAAAAAGCGACTGGCGAGCTCGGAAAAGACTCTGACGTTACCAACGCGACCAAGGACACCGGTATCGATTCTTAAGCAATCGCAGCCCAACGATGCCTTTGCCAATCAGCCGTTCGATCCGAGCAAACATCGTCCCAGCTTTAGGTATCAGCCACCTCCGCCGCCTCTACCCGTTCCACCCCCGCCGAAACTGAAATACAAAAGTAGAGCTTGGTGCCCGCCATTACCGACCTACAGCGCCAGACCAACGGTCGTCACCTTCCAAGGTCCGCTCACAAGGCCTAGA